TAGACCGTGGGGAAATAATGGGGTCTCGTGTTATGTGTTTATATTGATACGTGAAATCCCAACGTCATGGACCGTGGGCGACTATATATTAATTTAAAGTTAATTCTAATAGCTTTTTTGTTACTACTAGTAAGGCACCTGTTACTACTAGCGTGGCACTTGTTCCTAGTAGCTTATATAGACCAACTGTCCAGATCGAGCTCCCAGAGTTCTCAAAGAGCCGCTTTGCCCGCCGATCCAACATGATGGATGAGGAGACTGTGGGGTCGGATTCGTGACGATGGTGATTCTTTGTTTACAACTACTTAGTAGTGTCCTTGCTACTAGTAGCTATTTAGTGCTATTTGCTGCTAGTAGTAAGGCACCTTGCTGTTAGTAGCTAGCATCATATCTAAATGAGGATTGCAGTTTGTGCTAAGCAAGACATACAAATACGAAGTGTTTCAAACTTGCTGATCATCCTTCCCTTCGCTCGGGTTCCGGCAGACATGCCACAGGACCGTGTGAAGTGGTACAACTGGTGACTTGGCAAGTTTGCACACTGAACGAGAAAACGAACCACAGTGGAATGGAACTCTACATTGAAGGCTAATCCATGACTGTCAGACAGACAAGCGGACTTGAGCAGCCAGGGTTTTCTTACGCAGATGTGGGCGGGGGGGGAACTCCTATATAAGATTTGCAAATAGTGTCGGCTCTTTGCCTAATAGCGATGGCCTCCAACCTAATAGCAATGGCCTCCAACCCAATAGCGATGGCCTCCAACCTCGTAGCGATGGCCTGCGTTCATAATGTGCCTTTGAAGGAACTTGGCTTGCATTTTCCTGACCGCCGTTCCCTTGAGCTGGATGTGGACCGTGAACTACCGCACCTGCGCAGAGGCGAAATGGGATTCGGTTGGAGATTGGGGACTAGTAAGGCACCTGTTACTACTAGCGTGGCACCTGTTACTACTAGCGATGCACTTGTTTCTAATAGCTTCTTGTTACTAAAACATCTTACAAGTCACCTTCAGCTGATCGATGTCGCCGTGCAAGCAATATGGAGTTTATTGTGTGACCCTCGTTCCTCGTTTGTTGTTTTTTTTCATCGTCACCGTGAGTTCTTTAGCTTATTTTAGCTTCAGTCATCGCTTCATTGAAACAAATGTTGAAACCCAACGATCCAGACCTGCACTCTCGAAGGTTGAGCAGATTGGTCGGACTCTGGATCCAATGGGGCTGCTGAAGTTCAAGTGCCCTTTGATTCTGTTCTCGTTGTATGCGTTGCTTGGTTGCTTGGTGACATCTTGAGTTTAGCGAAAGACGAAGCAGCCGCCTGCGATCCGCTAGCCACGATGGTGTGAGGGACTCTGGCAAACAAGGATGATCACGTGTGATAAAGGGACACATACCCCCGCAAGCACAATGACATCCAGAATTGTTTGCTCAATGATGCTTCAAGCTTTCCCCCTCCCCAAAGCATGCTTCGACTATCGGACTCTCCTGCTAAACTGTCCGATCATCTGTCCGGTTGACCGATATGAGCATTTGTCAGGATTGTGCAAGCAGGAGTCAGAATAGGAGTCCCTCGATCCACGTGAATGGATGCAGGTACGACTTGAAGCTCTTCGGGTGAGCCGCAGGCATTCAACATTGAGAGACATGTTGGCAGCCAGTCCTATCGTTGGACACGTTTAGAACAATGGCTTCGGGTGAATCTTTTGACCAAGTCTGAACACGGTGGAAGTCAATGGTACTGGTAGTGAGAAAGGAAAGGATTCTAGCCGTAATATTGGATGTGTTCGCAGGCTTCCCAAAACAAAGACAACACTTCCATGCTTTCTTGTCAGCATGCTAGCGAGACCTACTGGTCTTGAGCATCAGCATGAGTCATCATGTGGATGACCAGTGCAACCTGACAGGATTCCATGGAAGGAGTGCGATATGAGCGATGCTTGTGAGCGGTGCTTTCGACTGGAGGGTTTGCTCAAGACAGGGGGGTAAAAGGATGATATTGAATGGTATTGATACATTTCTCCAGACCAAGCTGATCATAATCCGTGCTTGGTAGGCAGATTATGGCAAATTTACTCATGGAACCTGACCATATCAACACTGATGGAACCTGGCCATCGCATGCCTGTTCCACATCATTGCGAGACAGTTTTATTGATGGGTTGTGGTTGTGGTGCTGGTGCTGTTTGTCACATCGCGGTTGTTGGTGCTGTGGCTGCCGCTCGTTGCTGTCCTTGCCGTGCTGCTGTTCCTGTCATTGTTGTACTGTAGCTGCTGTTCCCATTTGTTGCCAGCACTGGTTCTCGTTGTCATCATTATCGTCGTTGTCATGCCACTTTTATATACAATACAATGTTTATCTACAATTCTTCGTAGAATAAGGATGATTCAGGACGTAGGCGTAGGCAGAAATTCCAATACATGGTCCATGCATACTTGGATCAGAATAATATCAGTTGCCCTCTTGGACCTGAGCATCCTGTCTCGCAAGTTTTTGAAGCTGCTCACATTCTGTGGGCTAAATGCTTATGAATAGTTTGCATCAAGATGGCATACGGCACTAGGCTGACGTTTTGTGTGGCTTGCCGTGGAACATTGAGAGATGCACATAATATGTTCCTGGCTTGCTTTTCCAATAAGATCTGGGCGCTTGAATCAGCAATGTTGATGAGGTAGAACCCAGGCGATACACTTTGGTTCATACATTGTGGCCATACTGGGTCTATGATATAGAGTCTAGAGCCTAAAGCAAGAATGGAAAGGTCCTCCTGGGTGTGGCACCCCAAACCTGTGAACTTTGGGAAGTTGTTGTACGCATAAATATATATATATATAGAGAGATAGTCGCTGCAACTCAAAGACGGTTTGCACTGGATAGGCAAATTTATACAGTAGCCTGCAATGGGTCTCCACGCAAGCCCGTTGTAGACTGGAGCAGTACATTGCGGTACACGGCACTTTGATTCAGAGGCACAAAAATGCAGCCAGGCTGCTGGGCGTCCAGCTGTTGCGGCCGGCTGTTTCTTTCTGGCATGTCGGCATGTCACAGTTTTGCTGTCTCATTTGGTGAGGTCCCTGCGATGGAGCTGGACGATGTCACCCTCGCTGCGCTCGCTCAGCTGGCGGAGGCGTGAGACTGTCGCGCTCCGTTTGTATGATGCAGGCCTTGCAGCTACAAAAGTACTCAAAACCACACTATATATATATATATATTGGGTACCTGTGTTAAGTCGTCTGGTCTTGTAGAAAGTCGTCTGGATGCTGCGTTTACATGCGGTTTAGGTGCAAGATGTCAATATGATTGGAAGATAAGCTTTGGAATCGCCAGACCGCTGACTGTTGGAATCGCCGACTCATTCAAATCCATTTGATCCGGGCCGGAGCAAGTAGAAAAGTTTCTGTAGTCCCAGCATGCTGCATCTATGTTTGCAGGCTAATCTTCATGATAGTCCTACTCTTGCGTTCTGACTGTGTTTCGGTCACCAAAAAGCTGCAAACTTCGACATACATCTAGTTCTTTTGTGCACAGGGGCAATGAATTCTTGATGTATAGGAGTTTTGACAAACATACTTCCGTAGAGCGTTTACATGGTGTTTTTAACATAAAACGGGTGACTTTTGACTAATACTGCGCTTACATGCGGCCGGTGACTTTTTGCAAACCCGGGTGACTAAACCCCGACGCTTGTAGTTGATGATTTTGGAATGTTCCATGCACCGAGTCTTTCCAAGCCTTTAAGTTAGTGAATGAAAGAGAAATTTCAGTGAATTCGAGGCATTCGCCTCATTCTGGGAAGGCTTGCCACACTGGCCATACTGCTTTCATGCGTTTTGCCTTTGTGGCTTTGAGATGTTAGGCCACTGGCGGCACCTGGCTTGCCGAAGAGGCTCAGCAATTGTTAAATTTCCTGGTTGGTTGCAAGGGTTGTGAAATGAGTGTGGAACAGGGAGGTTGAAATGATTTCAGGTAACCACTATCAGTGTATATATATATATATACACTGAGAATCGGCCATTTGTTCTCGTCTTGCTAAGAAGGACACCCTTAGATCGATTTCTGGCTAAAAGCAAGAAAAGGAGCTGTGGGCATGGAGAGGCTTCTCAGCAGTATTAGGGACGTGGGGACATGTAGGGACAACGAAAGTCCCTTGGTAGCAATCAGGCCTCTTGGTATGGCCGAATCCTTGAGATTCTCTTACCTTAGCAGCCATGTTGGTGGAATTCTGCCGCCAACCGACTGCAGGAACCTCTTGAGGAGGACGACAGTCCGCCTGGAGTTGACGGCCCGGTGTCCGTTAAGCCTTCAAGTTTGATCCAGGACGGGACCTCCAACCAAGATCAGGTGAGTCACAGTGAAACAAGCATACTATTTTATAAAACAATATGTCAGTCCTATTACCTGCAACAGTAGGTAAACAATTATGACTATGTTTGAGAAAGGCCTTTACCAACCATCATCATCATGGCAATAGGATAGACCCAAACATATGATTGGACGATATATGGCTGTATAAGCATACCTTGATGGTTTGTACTCAAGGACTCAGAGCAATGCCTTAAAAACAAGGAGACCAGCTATCAATGCCTTCCGGAGTTTCCAGATCTGGAGAAACGTGCCCCGGGAGCAAGTGGCAGCCGCAGGTGTCCTGGAGTATTTCACAGCTTGGGCACAGCTGCAGTGTGAGTCCTCCGCTATGGTTGGCTCAGCTTTTGGGGTATGATTTGAACACATTTAAACAACAGGTAGCAGAAGGCTCAACACCGAGACTAAACTGCGAAAGCAAGCCACAATCCTACAAAGGACAAGGCTTTTCTACAGCAGCTAAAGAACTTGAGGAAGTTGTGCCTCTCTTTCTTTGCTTTGAGCGAGAAAGGAAAACATGGTCGCAAAACATACATCACACAAAGGTATCGGACTCAAAATGACAGGAAAGCCTCAAAGAATAGCTGCATAGCTCCGAGATGGCTAACCTAGCAATGCTAGATGCCTGGTGAGTCGGAACAATGCCAATTGATCTGGAGCTCCTACAGAAGATCGAGAGGCGTGGTTTCTGAAGTTCTATGCCATTCTATGCTATAAGTTCGCTTTGCATCGCTTTGCAGTCAACGTCGTTGAAGCAGACAGACAGTCAACCACAAATCCACCAGAGAATGTACACAAAAGTAGTCGCCAATGGTTTTGCTACTCAATTAGGCAGCTCTTTTCCGCTTTGAAGACACATTTCCCACACTGAAGGCCGTGAAGACCATGTGTGCAGCGCGTTTCCATTGGAAGCAAATTGACCAAAGACCTCTTACAGACTCTTACCAGTGATTCTAAAAGTGTGGCACACACCCGGTCAGGCAGCGACAGCGGCTTGAGTGTTGCTGGCATTGTTGATTTGTTAGAGTCCTTCCCATGGTTCATTACGCTTGATTGCTTTTAATTAAGCTACAAATTTTGAGTTCTGGCAGGCTTGGACACCATGCATGACACAGCAAAGCAACACGTTTCAGACTGGATTCAGCCTAGCCCCTTTGTCGGGAGGGGGCCAATGCCAGTAAACCATGATTTTAAGATCAAGTAAGTAAGGCACATCATGTTCTTGCCTTTGCCTGATACTGTATTGGCTCAGCTGGTGACAACGATCCCTGAAGCAGGGGCGGAGTTGCCACAGATTCATGGACAAGAGTGGTTGGCTGAAATGATATCAGATACAATATATATATAATATATATATAATATATATATATATATAATATATATATACATATAACTTGCCTTGAGGCAGACAAAAGAAAACGGAACACTCTTTTCTTTTGACCCCACAACTTGGAGGCAAAACACACTTTGGAACTTCGAGAAACTCGACGACCCGTCTTTGGTGACCATGCGAAAGACCGCGCCGCGTCCCGGGGCTCCGGCAGCCCGGAGCCCACGAAGTCCCGGCACGGCGGCTCCCCGCTGCGAGGCCCGGCGTAGGCGGGAGAGCGGTGGCGAAGGAAGGAGCTACGGTCGGAAGCTTCCAACACTTCCTCAGAGCTTGGAGCGCAAACAGAAGCGCAGACAGGAAGGACAAGGAGGTGAAGCACATCACACACCAGACTTAGGCCCACCGGACTCCAAGTCAGAGGCCCGCAGAACAGACATGCGCAACCGGGCCCTCACACTATTGGCAAGTTCCACATCTGAATCTGTCAAACAGCGAGCAGAGGTTTTCATTCAGAAACACCAGGTGGCGACTGTTCTTCCAGAGAAGCCTCAAGCTACTCAAGCCCTTGGAGATGACTCCAAGCCAGCGGCAGTGCCACCGGACAGTGCCCCAGACCCAAGCAAAGAAGAAGTTCCCAGTGCCCAACCAGCAGCCAAAGCCGAAACAAGCGCAGGAACAACTGCGCCTGTGGAGACACAATTGGCTCAAATTCAAAGGGGCATCTTTTGGATCTTCAGTTGCGTGTTCACATGCTTGCCACTCAATGGCAAAAGGCACTTGGTGTTCCTTCTATTCTCGTCCTGCGACCATGTTGATGAAATTCGATTTTGCAAGAGTGCTCAAATCATGAAAGACACATTAATCATGAGAGTGCAACAGTGGACGAGTTGACCTGTTTCTTGTAAGTCATGAGAATCATGTGATGTGCTTGTTGTGAGTCAGCTTTTCACCCATGTGGAGATACAGCATGGCAATAACGTACTCCCTCATCAGACTCGTCCGCGTGAGGTTCTTCTCCTTGGGATTCTGCCTTTGCGCCAAGACTCCGAGCGAGCCGAAGAAGTGCTTCGAGACAAACGAAGCTACCGCCCCCAGGCGACCCGTTTCTGAATTTGGGTTTTTGATTAGGTTGGAGGCCATCACTATTAGGTTGCTTTTGCTATTAGGTTGGATTTCTCACAGGCGATCGCGACAAGAAAGGGCTTCGACCTCCTAGATCGGCCTCCTAGACCCTCCCGCGTGCTGTTTCCTGTGGTCATCATTCAACTTTCATTCAACTTGCTCATGCAAATTGTTGAGCCGGTCATTGTGCTCCTGACAGGCGGATGATTCGCAGCCGTGGTGGTTGCCGTAGCAAGGACACCTGATGCATGTATTGAAATCTAGGTGGACGCTGTTCAATCCTCTTCGCCGGTTCCACATGCAATCAATTGATACTTCAGATATGTCCAAAGTGCAGAACCTGACCCTCTAAAGGTGGTTCCCCAACCAGGAGAGAAACATGCAGTCTGTGTGGATAGAGTGCCCCAAGTACGATGATGAAACCATTGATGCACAGGCGAAAGGCCCAGAAATCTATGAAGAGCTCGAGAAATTGGAGAAGCTGCTGCGGCAAGAGGCCGTCCTCATCTCCAAGGATCGCCCACCGGGCATGGGCAACAACACCTAAAAGGTGGGTGAGAGCCCATTTGGCTATAGGGCTCAGAAATACTGTGAATGTTTCGTATGCGCAAGGCCGTGTGTTAATTGGATTTATATAACTGGACAGACAGGGAACCAGTTGCGTCGTTGCGTTGGAGACCAAGTGGCTCAAAGTGTCGCCCCAGAAAAGCGACATAGAGCCATACAGAAAATCAGTCACTTGAACCTGACGCGGTTCCAGTCTTTTTGGCATCATTGTCACGATCTTCTAGCAGCAACAGCGGACGATTTACGACATGTAAAGAATGCTCCATTTAACTCATTCCCTCCAGTCGGATGTGCGTCGGTGACTTTCCAAACAGTGCCCAAAGCTTGGAACTTGCCCACATTTGAAAAACATTTTGGGGAGATTGGGAGCGTTCCAAACTCTTCCGTATCGGTTCAGTTGTTAAATGTTAAAGTTATAACGTAGTTATTGAATTTTGTCCTTACGAAGTTGAACACTTGGCTTATTCAATTGCTTGGGGTTGCGCTATGTTGCGTTCCTTCTCAGGAAGATCAGGACTCTGCAATTCTGCAGGGTTTGATGCAGATTCCATTTTTGGCGCAGGCACTGTTTGGAGATTCCCATGAAACCTTTTTGGGGGTTCACACTTCCCGGAATGGCCGTCGAGTTGAGATCACCCCTGCTTCAGACCGAGCATGTTGCAGGATAGCGGGGCTGATCCAGCATGTTGAGCTCAAGCTCAATTGCAGTTTACATCGATGAATCCGATGAGTTTGAACATCAAGGCCCTTTTTCATCGATTGTAATTGTCATTCTATAGTTAATCACACTGATTCGGAACTTCAGACTCTTTCAATTATATAATTTTCTAGTGAATTTGCTTGGAGGTGACCGAAAGCAAGTCCAGAAACTGTTTGGATTTGTTTGGCCTCGTGCCAAAGCAGCATGGCTTTTCAGTTCGCCGTTTCAGGGTCCTTGGAGCACTGAGATGAAGGCAGTCGCAGTGATCCTCGTTTCACGGATCCTTGAGTCGTCCTAGGGCCTTGTGGCCGACGTTTCACGGAGTGGGGTGATGGAAGCTTTGTTGAAGTACGCATCACTAAGATAGAAGGAACCAGCAAGTCACAAAGGTTTGCAGTTTTGTTTTCGTGCATTGCTTTTCCAGAACTCCATGACAGGATAGATATTTTCGTTTGGCCTGGCCAATAGTCGATGTTTGCATTCTCGGCCTTTGGTCAAATCTGCCAAACCTGCAATAAAATTCGACAAAATAAAGGTGGCAACCCCATTTGTTTCTGTTCAACTGCACTCTTGAACACAATGATGTCAGAGTTGAGAAGGCTGGCTGCATGATGACACTGCGGTCATGAGACTCTGGTAGCACAGCCTTGCTTTCCGTTTTTGGTGAGTTACCAGCTATCATCAGTTGATGTAGTAATATGTAGTATATAGATGTATAGCATATTCACAAGATTCTTCTGCCATTGCTGATGGCACTAGCCAGTTCTTCACATGTCCCCCCACGAGCATCCGAAAGCAGACGACGGTGCCAGGGATGGCCTTCGAGCACCAGGCGGAGGGGGTTTGAAAGCTGCGACTTTGGCAGTGCAGATGATTGCAGATGTATAGTGTCTAGTCTATGGACTGAATCTAGAGGTGGTTGATCTAGGCTAAAGCATCAAGCCATGTGGAGCCAGCGCCCGTTGTTGTCGGTACGGAGGCGTAGAAGCATCACCGGCCAAGAAGGAGGGGCAGCATCAGGTGTCAAAAAATCGGGCTATTCAATCGGTCCAGAAGCCCAGGGCACTGTTCGGCAATATGACAATCACCGTTTACACCAAACCACGGTTTACACCAACCGCCGTTTACTTGGTTGGTGTAAAACGTGGTTTGGTGTAAACGGTGGTCGGTGTGTAAAGCCGTGGTGTTGTGTAAACGGTGGTTGGTGTAAAACGTTTGGTGCAATGCACACATTTAACTGTAAATACGGACATCAATACCGACTGTATCAGCCAGGCAAATTGATACCCCAGGATAGCGGGGTTTAGCCACAGAATGGCTTTCAAACTCCAACTGTCACCTTTTGACACCGTTTGACATATTATATTATAGAAGTATCTCTTAAACTCACTAATTAGCACCTTCCCAACATATTGTGGCTCATGTCCACCATTTTTCTCATTTTTTCACCTTCAAGCATGTTATTTGTGAATTTGTATATTTATTTTCAAATCTTTCATTGAGGAAGCTACATTCCACAAGTCCACATACAAAAATGATGGACATGGTCAAGACAGGTCATTCAATTGAACCTGGTGGGGATTTAATGACTTTTTCACATTTTTGAAACAATGCTTTCTCATTTGTTCACTGTTTCATTGATTTTTGCATTTTTTTGATATATTGCGAAAGCGAGCTTTTAGAGCGAACGAAGTGAGTTAAAGAGGGTGAACCTGGAGCTTGGTGGGGGAGAGCGCTCCAAAGCGAAGGTCAGAAAAGCAGTGAAAAGAGTGTTTGGTGATGCGAGTGATGCAATCACGCAAGTAGTGCATCATCAGCATCATTAAGGGCTGTTGATGCTATTTGGACAATGGGCATTGAGCACTGGAGTGGAGACAGGGACCCATGTACAGAGCAGACTGCAGCCGCGCGTAGGATACGAGTTCCCAGGACAACCCGTAACTTGCGAAATCCATAGAGAAGCGAAAGTGACATGAGTTCAACTCCATGAATTTGGACATATTTGGACTGAGTATGCCTGCGAGGTTGACTACATATCCGCATAGGGGTCCTGTCCCCTAGCAAAAACTATACTTGCACCATGTCCTCGGTCGAGTGGGTGCTTCTCGCGGCGTCCACACGCACCGAACGTTTTTCCGGCTTGCCGGTGCAGATAGATAGAAAGAAAGATAGATACATGCATACAAACATAGATAGACAGAGATAGGATAGATGGATAGATAGACAGATAGATGGATACATAGGTAGATAGATAATAGATAATAGATAATAGATCTATTCTACATACTACTGACTCATGACGTCGCCTTTTATTTGGCAGCCCTGGCCGAATCCAGTCAGCCTCGGTCCACGGCCCAAAGATCTACGCACGCAGGTGCCAAAGTCAAGGCCTCTGAGTGAGAAAGACGCAGAGTTGATAAGAAAGAGAAGAATAAAGAAGGCGTTTGGATTTTTAAAGGACGTGTTTTGGATTGAGCCAGAACATGACTCACTCAAGTCCAGGCATGTGCATCGATAGGCACACAAATCCTCACTCCTTTGCTAGCCCAAGCTTCTCCTGCTGGACCTCCCCTTCTGTGATCTTGTCTGCGCCGCGGGATCAAATGTCCGTGTCCCGGTTAAGACGTGCCCGTTCACTCTTCCAAATCAACGAAGGCCGCTTCTTGATGTGCCGCAGTATGCATGGCAAACTTCAAACACTCCAAATGTAACAAACACATAGTTGCTTCTTTTCAAACGCATGCCATACTCGCGCGCGCGCGCGCGCCCCTGCCTGCGGCGACGCTCACTATGGAGAAGGTCTTCTACGCGCGCGCGCGTGGTGTCCCACCACTCGAACTTAGACGGTATGCCCCCTTCGCTAAGGCTGATGTCGCCTTCCAACTTCCATAAGACGCATGCCTTCCTGCGTGTGACAAACACATGCCATTGCCTTGTGAGTGATGATGACCAACGCCAACATACAACGTATCGCGTTTCTCTTTCAGTACTTCTTTCATACCAAACTTATATATTCCAAAGCCGCCCGGCTTGCTTCTCTGCTCCCTCAACCACCATTACATACGCCCCCCGCATCCGCGGCGCCGCTGCCTCGCAAGCTGCCGACCATGTGTCTTGTGCCGCGACGCCCGCCAGAAAAAGAGACACTCGTCTGGCGGCGGCTGGCTTTCGTCCCCCCCTTGTCAGGTATATATATATATATATATATATGGCAATCTTTTTTCACTTTAAAGCTCGCACCTTTCACTCGGATACTTCTTCGGGGCGGGACAGCGTGGCCTGAATCCACGCAGACTTTGTTGTAAAGCTGCACCTCTAAGCTTTTTGTTCATTGTCCATCCCATCCTTTTCTGCCACGCTCTTTCACTGTCACCCTCTCCTGGATCTCTTTGCTTCACAATTTCATCATCATGCAACCACGCCTTACGCCAGAGTAACTCTGCACCTGAACGCTCTCGGGCCGTCCGTCATCTATTTGTTGTTGTTCCTTGCTTTTAAAATTCCGGTTATGCACGATACCGGAGAGCAGGAGCCGACATCGACGTCGCTGCTTTGAACGCTTGTCGGTTTTCGCCCTTCCACCTTCCGGCTTTCCTACCTTTCGTGTCTCCTAAAGTCAGAAGGCGCCTGCTGCGGTTGTTTGGACCCACTTCACATGGTTCATTTATGACTGGACCTGCGATTTGCACCACTACCCACTGTTTGGTTAGCAGGTTTAGTCTCCCTCGCTGGTTGAGCAGTTGAACAACAGGAGTTGACAGCGGAATCAGGGATTGAAACTAAAATTCTAAAAAAGTGACCGATGTCGCTCAGCTTGGCAGAAGCAAGACCAAGTGTGACCTGGACGGACATCAAGAACACACAGCCACACTTCGCCCAAGGAAAACACTATGTTTTTTAGTCAGGAAGTTAAGGAAGTCCTTTCCTAGACGGGTGCGAGGAGGGCGCATCCTTTGCCGCAACTACACCTCCATCATCTGAGGACTGGACAGTGGTTCAATGCAGTTTAGAGAACTGAGGGTGGTGTTTGTCACGCCGTTGATGGTTGATGATCGTCCGATTTTGGTCACACTGAAGAAACTTGAAAATGCTTGATGACTGCACAGTGACGCTGTGGTATGGCCTCTCTTGACCGGACGTACAAAAAAATGCCAAACCTGCTCAATTTCAGGAGTTGTCTAGCAGCTTTGTCACGCCTAGCAGCAGGCCGGGTCTAGTTGAGGTTATATAACTTCGGGCAGACTTGCCAACGTGAAAAGTCTTGCGTGGTCAGTTTGCACAACTCCTCTTGAGAGTCTAGTCTAACAGACCGGACTTTACACTTTGGCATGATTTGACACTGGTGTCAAAGCGCTGGTAGAACGCCCCACTTGAATTAGCAATTATGCATTCTTCGGTCATTCATTGTCCAAGAAACCCAAATTAAAAATTACAATTGTTGGCATTCTTGTGTCTGTAATATTAATATACCAAATGAAACTAGTAATAACTGGGAAGAATGTACAAGCAGCATTTTCTTCTCAAGCTTCACTCAAGTGCGGACAGTCAGGGCTAGCTGTGGCTAGTTGCTTTTAGCAAGTAAATTTCTCGGCAAGATGGGCTTGCTTTTCAGCAAGATCTGGGCTCAACTGATGAGTTGTCAGGAAATGAAGATTCTGATGCTTGGTCTTGACGCCGCCGGCAAGACCACCATCCTGTACAGACTGAAGCTGGGAGAAGTAGTCACCACCATCCCCACAGTGGGCTTCAATGTCGAAATGGTGGAGTACAAGAACATCAACTTTACTGTTTGGGATGTAGGCAAGACAGGGTAAACAGACAACTATTGCAGGTTAGCTCTATCCTGTTTCATCGTGACTCATTGAGGCTTCATCATGACTCATTGAGTGTTCTTTTCTGAAAAAGCATAAAGGACACCCAAGAATACAATAGAAGTTCGACACCCGTTGACCAAAAGCAAGATACTGTTACCCCGAACAATGTGGTTGGGGTAACTGAGCAAACAACTTTAAACACCCTAACAGTTCAGGTGGCCAGGACAAGATCCGAAAGTTGTGGCGCTACTACTTCGAGGGCACAGACGCTTTGATCTATGTGGTGGACAGCTCCGACAGGCAGCGCATTGGCGAGGCCAAAGAGGAACTGGAGAGGATGCTACAAGAGGAAGAGCTAAAGAACGCAGCTCTCCTTGTGCTTGCCAACAAGCAGGACTTGCCCAATGCAATGACTCCGGCTGAGGTAATGGAAGCGCTGGAGTTGCAAAAGCTTCGACATCGGAAATGGTTCATTCAATCGACAGTGGCTCCTACTGGAGATGGCCTCTACGAGGGTTTGGACTGGCTCTCTCGGTGCCTTTCTTCTCGTTAGTGGTTGCATGTGTCCAGCACAAAGCTTGAAGGCCTTTGTAGCAGTTTAGTTTTGAAATGCGTTGAAGCCTACTTTTTTCCCAGGCAGATTTTAGGCCTATGCAGCCTTACTCCAAGTGAGGATGGCCTTTCTGGGATCCGCAGTTTCGAAGGAACCTGGTTGTACAGCTGCAGGTTGCCTTGTGGGAAGCTTCAACGTGGAATCAAAACAAGCCGTATGCGTGCCGTTCTGTTCAACACTCTTAAAATATCTTAAACTTTAAACGTCATAGCCACAGAGGGCAGTTAATTTTTGTGCCGCCGAAATCTGACCAAACCTGCACGAATGACAAGAACCGCTAGTACAGTGCACTGAATTTCCTTGGATGTCAACATCCCTACAGGCATGTTGAGGCCTCCTTTGGGCAGTTTTAGGCCCTGGGCCTGCGTACTAGCAAGAAACCAATCACATCAGCACCACCAGGTGAACTCATGCTGGGCTTCACTACAACGGAACCCCGCATGGAACGACCCATTTCCTCCCCGGTCTTTGCGTCAGGTCCTCGGGATCCACCCCCGAGCTCGGCAGCTACCGTCTGGTGGAGGGCCGCTGCGAGGCGCGGACCAACGGGTGAGGCCGTTGCATCCCACGAAGTCCCAGGAAATTTGAAGCCTCACTGAGGCTTTTGAGATTTTATGGTTGGATTTTGTGAGAGTGGAAACTACAAGACACAACAAAACATGGACAGTCTTGGAATTGACACCTTTTCGGATTTCATTGTGATGGTTGCTCGTCCTGTGCAGCAAGCAAGGATCTCTCTCTCTCTCTCTCTTTGTATATATATATATACACATAATTGTTTTTAAATATCACCTAATGAATGATTCGGGTTATAGTTTGAACATGGTTGAACTCTGGTGTGCTGCACGTTGCTCGAATGCATAAGTTTTTTTGAGTTGCGGACCCTTGGCCTGGGCAACTGTGGAGTGCCTTGAGGCTGTCCAGAGGATCTCTGCATTGGACTTGGAGGCTGGGCGAAGAGTAAAGAGATGTAAAGAGCAGACCAGGAAAATGGGCCCAACAAAGGAGGGGTCAGTGAATGCCAGGGGTCAGGAGACCGGATTTGCCGGTGCGCTGTCCGGATTGTCCTTTGTCCAGGAAAAGGAGCAGCAGCCAGAGATGCTGGAGGAGGACAGAGTTTGTGGGACATATATAAATATTCAGTGATTTGGAGTCTGAAGCTGCTGAGAGATGCAAACATTCCGGTGATGCAAAGAAGAGACATTTGTTGTTAAGAGTCCTATGATTGAAAAGAAAACAGATGGATAAGCTGCTGACCCTCAATGACCCTCACTTGTGATTGCTTTGGTGCTTGAAGGCATCTCTCCATCGAGGTTCAGTGATTGTCTGATCGCCTGACTCCCGATTGAGTGTATCTCAGCAAGATGGG